TGGGCAAAAATATGTACCTGAGTTTGTGTGTATGAGTTTGAAGTTTCAAGCGCTCTTGCCCTGTGGGTCTTTGAAGCATTTTGTTAATGGATAGTTTATTAAACATCCACGACTGCTTTGACTCTTATGAAAAAAATAAATTCTCTTTTTCAGGCATCCTAAGTTATTGCAAGAATATCTTTCTAATTTGCCCAGGTGCTGTACAAAGAATAAAACTTACTACCAGCCTGACACATTTATCAGATTACTATTTCAGGTTTTACTAGGGATAGTGTTACCAGGGAGTGTGTGGCACCCTCAGGAGGTGTATCCTCCGTAACTGAGACAAATTATAAATCAAGTCTAAGTCTCTTTTTTCTTTGCTGTTGCAAATCAATAGCAAGGTGCAAATTAGATCTTATTCAATCATTTTCCTCTCCTCCTTCCAATATTTTCTTTAGCAATGAGATGGGTGGGATTTTTGGCATGCACAGGCATACAAGAGGGATCAGACCCAGAGGGAGAAAGATTGCAGTTTAACACCAAGTGATTTGTTTTCCATTCTGTGAGTTATCCAGGAGCAGTTGGTTGATTACACACAGATAAGCAGCATACACACACACACTCACACACACACACACACACACACACACACACACACACACACACACACACACACACACACACACACACACACACAAAGCACCCTCAATGAACTAATTTTATTATACAGCTGTGAAACCTGTTCTTCACATACAACTTGTGTATAAGATTGAAGTATTATACCAGCTATCAGAAAATGTAGGGCTATGGTTCCTGTAGGTTGTACATTGTTTTGTTCATTGTAGGTATAGCTGCTTTGCTCTACAGCTGCTGTATAGCCACAGACTGTCAGCACAACACAGATTCAACCAGATGTAAACCAAACTCTTTTGTCTGTTTGTCCACTTTTCAGTGGCCTTAAGATAATAGGCTTGAAGACCTGATAGGGAATTGATTCATTTACAGGAGCTGTACACCTGGAGTCATTTGTCTTTTGAAAATGTTTGAGCCAGTGGCTGATGGGGTGTCAAAGGCCTGTGAGTTTGTAAGATTTTAGTTTCCTGCATCACTCGCCAATGCAGGATGGTTTCCCCACCTGAAGATCGATGGGAGTCTTTTACTGTGTGCATCAAAGGTCTCCATCTACCTCTTAAAAAACACTCACCTCTGCTGAAAGAGCAGAAAGCACTTATACACACAGCTGGAGAGCACTTTATTCAGTATTTTGACCTCAGAATGTTGTGTGTCTGTCATGTCAAGTCCATCAATCTTTTGTGGAACTTGACGGGAAAACTGCAGCTAGAAATACCACCGTTACTGTAAGTACATTAATCTTAGTAAATCTTAACTGTACTAGTTAAGAACTGTACTGTTACTAGCATCTAACTCATGCAGCAACTACTTGGTAATTACTGGTGAGCTTTGTCTGAAATATATTTTTGTCTCCACCACAATATGTTTTTTCAGTTCAATTTTACTTTGCAAAACAGGAGGAAACAAACTGGCTGCCTGGGTTACAATTACAACAACAATTTTACAATCCAAGAATGTAGACATTCCTATTCCTATAAGACGATGTAGGGAAATCACTGGGGTGGATGACTGGGCATGTTGTGCCTTCAGTATTTGTAGGTTAAGACTGCTAACCTAAACATGGTTTAGGTTCAGTATTTACATTGTACATTACATATACAAAATATAATACAACCTTTAATCAATTATAAATTTTTTGGGGGGGAAAAGATTGGCCTCACCAAGAAAATTTATAGGTTGTATCCCATTTTGATGTTGTTGGTGAACTGCATCTCAATAAAACCACTGGGATTAGTGGGAAGTGGATATTATATGGTGATAATTTTAATCTGAAGAAGAAAGTAAAATAAGAGTAAAGAAAGTAAATTCCTTGAGTTGTGTAACTACCAGAACTTAAATGATCAGGGAGAATGGGAATACGGTGTGGTAAAATTAATATTAGTATATTAGCCGCTTTTAGCATGTGTGAATAGTTTATGTGAGGAAATGCACAGACTATTCACTCTTGTGCCTTTGGTCTGAATCCAGTGTTAGATAGACTTCTGAGTCCACCTGGGCCACCCACGGCCACAGTGCCGCCCTACGTGGAACACTTTCAAACTAATAAGACACATTCCTCTTACTGTGCTCACAGTTGATGAATGAGACAATTAGCACACATGCAGATTAACCACAATAAACTTCACAATACTCAAGTGAGACAGATAATGGCCTGTGAGATGTTACACAGGTAAATAAATTAAAAGTGATATATTTTCTTTGGAAACATTTTGTCTGGATACAATTTATCACTCAAATCAAAAGACAGAGTAATGACAATGGCATGAAATCACCTTCTTATAATGTACACCCAGATAACCGACCCACCAAATGAAGACATCGGGCACACTAAAAACCCTGTCACCAAAACATTTAGACCTGGACCATCTGTAGGGACAGACAGGCTTTTGGTCAGAGGATCCCAGATCTCTGACATCATGGTGTGACGACTGCAGTTCATTTATATAAGCAGAGACAAGACTATTCTGTGCTTTGTAGACAAGAACTTTTCAACTCAGTTCTATAGCTAAGAGCCAGTGGAGGGAGGAAAGAGTAATGTGGTCTCTCTTTCTTGAGAATGTTAAAAGCCTTAGCACAGCACTGTGAACAAGCTGGAGGAAGGATTAAAAGGTTTGATTGACACCAGAGTATAAAGAGTTGCAGTAATAAAGGTGGATGGATATGAAGGTGTTGATGACTTTCTCCAAGTCAGACACACACATAAATGGTCCTGACTGCAAACAATGCCGAAAACATTGAAGGTGGATTTACCTGATTTTCTTCAACTTCAGTGCATTTTCATTATGGCTTCATAGGGAGATAAAGAAAAGTAAATCTACATACATTTTCCAATCAAGAGAATCCATGCCCTGACCAACAGCAAGGACACTCAACAGTTCTGACCTTTGTAGGAATGGAGAGCCAGAAAATCCAAAGAAGGAAGCTATTATAGCTGCTTTGCTCCACAAAACACAAATGTTTTGCTGACAGTCATGAGACAGGAGTTGTTGGTACAAAGTCTTCTGAATTAACTGTGTGAACTCATTGTCCCGCTGTCGAGCAAGCTAATTAGCCTACTACCTTGACAGTTAGCAGATTGAAACCTTGGAGAGTTAGTGAGCTTTTTACCCTTTACAGTAAGTCTTTAATGAATGACACAGTGTTGCCTACTATCCTGAGAATAAAGTGCTACGGGGTAGTACATGACACACTGTAGAGAGATTAAATAGTAGAGCGGTTTTAACTGATTAACCCATTGGCTCCGTTTTTGAAGGGATTATATAGTTAATTGGCCAATTCTAAGTAAATTTGGGTGTCATCAACAAAATAGTGAAAATAAATATTGTACTTTCAGATAATGTAGAAGTAGCTTCACCACTGACATTTTTCATCTTCTCTTTCTTTTCTTTTTTTACATCTTTTCCACTTACAACTTCTCATGTCGTAATATACGGATTCCATTTCATGGGCATTACAATTCAATTTCACCTGTCACCTTGTGCAGACTAAAGGACTGCAGAGATTTAGTATTATTTGACAGGCTGCCAGCACTTCAAATACCCAAACACAGGCACACACACTGACACAACTAAGACATAAAGACAAATGCATTTCCTGTTATACTCCAGTCCACACAATAGGATGGTGTTAAGTCAAGTGAGAAAATAAGGGAGAAAGAGCTGGCCACAAAATGTGGGGAAGAAAAAAAACATAAAGACTTCAAAGAAATTAACCATTCCCCCTCTACGCTCTGTTTGAGTGAAGTGCAATAAACGAGATGAGGGGGGCTTTTGATGGCCTTTCTGATCTCGAAATTTGCCATCAATTTTTTCTTTTGAAATTAAGAGATGTTACAAATGTGAATGGGCACATGACCTCAATCTGCATTAGTTGATAATATGATAATACCTAGCAACAAAGGGATGTCAAGTTTCAAACTGTTGTTTTGCCCTTAAGTAAAGCACTTCAGTCGTCACCTTCTCCAGTGTAAAACAAAGATAACTGTTAAAAAGTAACACATAATATAACAGCAGGAAAAACTAAAGAACTTTGTCAGGTATTCAAGCCTCACTGGATCTTGCAGGAAATGCCTAAAAACCAAAAAGGTGGAGTCAAGAAAGAAATTAGATCAGTTGCTTCATATAATACCACAGGAAAATGTTCGAAAACTATATGCTGCTGTTCTTAACAAGTCAAAAGATGATGGGTTGATATGTCACTACAACTTAGTTTAAAAAGTTCCATAATGAAGACAAGAAGAGAGGCAATTAGAGTGTCAATGCCTTTTGGAATGCAAGACACTGAGTAATTATCAATAAGTAAAATCAATACATAACTCATCACTCCACCTATTCACTTATGAATTGATCTTATGTCATGTTTGCCAGCTTAAAGGGATGGTAAACCTTCCTTGAAACGCTCATTGCCTGAATTAATCATAGTGGGGAAAAAAGTAATGATACTGGACCTTTGCCCTGCTATCTAAAACTGCTGACACATTACAATCAAACTCATTATAAATCTGTCTAAAGGATATAGTCAGCAATATACTGATATAACTTACATTACAATAAGGTACTTCAGCTATCATAGAAAAAGGTTTACAGTATGTTAAAGCCAGTTAAAGCTAAATTCCTCAAAGGTATCTCGGTTTGGGCACATGGTTCTATTGAGTTGTATAAAAATTGTAATTTAATTTTAAAAAAATCTTGAATTAGACATTCTGTAAATGTCACGAAATGTCAAGTAAATGAGCTACATTAAATTAACTTTTGGTTGTTGAGTATAAGGACGACTAGTTCAAAGTTGGAAAATAAACATGCTTTTATTCTTGCAGTGGACAAATGGAAGATGTGTTTCCATTCATTTCTGTGAAGCTCTTATTGTTTTCTCTTTTTGCTCCACAGAGGGATCCCAGGGAAGAAATGTGGGACTATCGTCTTGTCTGCAGAGGAGCTGAGCAACTGTCGAGTGAGTAAGCCAAAAATAATCTCCCCTTCCAACCACACATTAGCAGGCAAACATCTGTCAGCAAAGCCTGGTTAAACAGACTTCACACATAAAGTGGATTGAGCAGTATGGAAGCTTAGAGGGGCAAATTTAGTGTCGGCATACTGCCACAGACAAAGGAAACTTCATGTTGACTTTATTATGCCACTTTTAGAAAGAATCCCACATCAGTCAAAGAGCTGAAAAAGTCTGTGTTCAATCCATCAGTCCTCTGTTCATCTGGATTGGTGTTGAACTTTAATACTCTGACTACCGACCAAAATCTGTCCATAGTATGAAGTATGGAAAGCGGCATTGATATGTCAGATATTTTATTTATTTATTTACTTTATACTTTATTTAATACTTTGTGCTTTTATGACTTATTTATTGTCAGATAACATTAAGCACTGATTACTATGAAAAAACTGGTTTATTTTGTTTTGGACTATGTTTTTTATTTTGCATTCTGCACATAATTTTTGGGGAATTATGGTAATACAGGCAATTTTACAACAAATCACGTACTGCATGCAAAACTAGAGGTAACAAAACTAGCTTGTTACCCCTCCTGGGAGTTGAAAGGTCATTGTGACAAGTCTCTGAGGAATATCCCTGAGGTATAGCAGTTGCTGTGCCAAGTATAAAAAGCAGAAAGAAAGAAAACACTGGCTGACTCATTCTTTTCTACAGAGAAAATAATGATAGTTCTCAGGGTACAATACAATATTTTTGGACATGAGTGAATTGAATTAAACAGTGACTAATTACTCTATCATCACCTAAGTCAGGGGTAGGCAACCCGCTGCTTTTTAGCCCATCTCCAACAGCTCCATGTGGCTTTGACAAAATTATATGGAAATGAATAATGTTTTTTTTTTTTTTACAAATTACATTTTCCTTTTAATTTATCATTTTTGTAGGCCTAAAGTGATTCTTACATTCTCCAATTGTAAAACAGTGTTGCCATTACAAACTGAATGAATGTTTTAACATTTAGTTAACTGAAATGTGCATCATACGTTACATCCTGGCCTGGTGCCCTTTCCGCTTTATTTTGCTGAACCTCAACAGCAGTGGCTACCAGCCTAGTTATGTGTTCCAAATCAAAAAAAGAACAAATCTCAGAAGATAGTTAATAGAGAATTTAAAAGGGCATGCTTGATCTGCTGTAAGAAATTAGCATTTTACGGCTCAAATATGGTACCATTCCCTGACTTCTCCTGCCCTCTCTTGGACCTCCATGGACTCTGTATCTAAAAGTCCAGTTGCAGAGGCAGTAAGTCCTCCTCCTTGTGTGGTCCTTCTGTGGTGAAAGTGCCCTGAGAGTTGTCGCTATCCATACTAGCTAAAAATGGCTGTTGTGATAGTGATCATTAATCTTTCTCTGTCCGTTGTTGTCACATACAATGTTGCCAAGCCCCACACCACTGTTTGCCCCCACTTCATATTCTATCTTGGGAGAGCCAGGCAGAGATCGAGGGTATACGTATCTTTTATTAAAAAATAGAAAGTATTGTTTTGTTATCAATACTGAACAACTGCATAGTCTCATTTATTTACATAGCTATCTACTGCATCTGTCTATGTATCTGTCCACCTATATACATTCCATTTTTCTAACTACACAACCATGCACCTAACCATCTATCTACAGTACCAATCACACACACACACACACACACACACACACACACACACACACACACACACACACACACTCGTCTGAGAAAATAACAGACAGGGCAGCTGTTCTCACTCTGCAATGTCCCCCGGTCTAATGAAATGGCCCAGGAACATGATGGGGTGACTGTCCCCTCAACCAACACTCTGCTGTAAAGCTTTGGATGCTTCACGGGCTCCCAGCAGGCAGATTAGAGGAGGATATTGAAAAGCAAGAGACTGCAACAGAGCAAATGGCACAGAGAGAGAGAGAGAGGGCGTAAAGGAGAAAGAAATAATGGCACAATGAAAATGAAAGCCCAAACGAGCAGTGATAAGATGGAGAGAAACAGAGATTTGTGTGTGTGTGTGTGTGTGTGTGTGTGTGTGTGTGTGTGTGTGTGTGTGTGTGTGTAGAAGAGAGAGGGAGAGAGAGACAGAAAAGGGCTCAGATAGAAACAGATATAAAGACAGTGAAGTGAATCAATAGAGGATTATTTCACGCCCTGCGTATACCAGCTCTTAGCAAGAAGAACAGCTTGGCTGATGATAATGTGAGACAGAGCGTTGGTTAATTAAAACGCAGCCCTGCCTGACCTTGTCCCTTGTAGCCACACGCGCACACACACACACACACACACACACACACACACACACACAGACACGCATACATGCATACACGCATACATGCATACACAGTCATACAGATACATAAACACATACACACAGATGCTGCAAAATGCTTTGTTGCATTTGATGTCAACTGCACAGCCTGGAACATGAAATAAGATGGATGGCATAGCGGCATGGACACACAGACTGCTATTGTCATTTAAAGCTCCTATAATCAAAATGTTTATATTAACAATGGATCACATGACTTTATACCCCGAGATAATTATCACCCAACTCTGCAGCTCCTGTCAGTTTTACAGACCTTTAATCTGAGGTGTTTTGGTTTTCCAGGCTCCTTGGATTCTTAGTCTGATCCAGTCAGGATAGAGGCGTAGCAATGCGTATCCTTCTGAGCCCCACCCATTTAAATATGATCACTTCTGGCTCCAAAAAACCAAGATGGCAGCAGCCATAATGCCAAATTTGAGGTGTTGGACTGCTCTCACAGTGTTGTTTTTGACTGCAATATACAGCTGTTTTCAATGAGAGTGATCTAAAACCCACTGTATACTATCTTCCTAGCACCAAACAACAAACAGACAAAGTTAGCAACTAGCTAGTGAACATAGTGTAAGATAGCATTTAGCAGCTAAAGAGCCAGATATTATTTATAATATTGGACTTTCAAGTCATCAGGAGGACAGAATGAAACTGAAATGACTCCAAATGAATGCTTGAGTTGATTTGTGTCTGCCAGATGTGTAAATGAGAAAATATTTGCTTACAACTCCCATATTAACTTATAAGGTGAAATGTCGGTGTTGTGTTTACAGCTTGTTGCCACTTCCCCAAGTGGCTTCAACATTAGCTTTAAGTGAGACTAAGCATGTACATCCAGACTTAATAACAAAAACATGTTCTATTTTGTTCCAACACTTTGTTGAAGCTATATGATCCTCAGATGGAGTAATATATTCAAATCCAAGATTCTTTGCATGACACATTTGGTGTCTTGAGTAGAATTTAAAATAAAGCTCTCTGGGTCTTGCAAAACGCTTGTCTCCACAACATGAGTTTGTAATGATGGGCCTACCATTGGGTCTGACTGGGTTGAGAAGGTTAACGTGCATTTAGCATTCATGAACTGACATTATTCATCAGTTTCCATTTGTGATGTCGGCTCAAGAGAAGCAAGTATGTGATGTGGTGTGTGAGTGTTTTTTTTTTTTTTTGCTGACATACCCTGCAGTAGGGAAATTTAATACATTTGTACATACTTGTGATTAAACCTCACCAGCTGACCTTCTTTGTGATGCACACAGCACACAGTGTATGCTGTGTGCGGTTTGTGTTTTTCTTTTTTGTTGAAAGAACTGTAGTGCTTAACAAGACTACAGAACAACCCTGGTTGGTGTTTTTTACATTATTAAAGGTTGAGGAGAAAAGATGTTTGGTTAATTTGTCAGCATCATCTCATCCGTGATTGTATATAAGAACCAACCTATTCAGGAGGATAATTATCAGTGATTGAACAGTGTGAATGTAAAACTGCTCTATTTAACCAGGAGCAATCCAAGCCTATAACTTGAAGACAAACTGAATATGAAGATTGCAGCAAATGCCCCATGTTGTATGACTCTATACCTGATACACTTACTGACTTAGTTTTATTTATTTATTTAATTACTTTTCAGTGTAATGCCAAATATTACAACAGATTAACAACCAAATGGAGGGTAAGAGAAAACATTTCACTTTAAATAAACCCATTTCCACAACAATGTGGTTTTGGTAAATTTAAACCATATGGACAAAATACCAGTTGGGCTTGAGGAACAAAAAGCACAAGTAGGAAAAGATTGTTCTCCTATGTGATCAAATTTATGAGGCGTGTGTAAAGTAATCATTTTAAGTGTACTGAAACATTTCTCCAACTCCATGTTCTGGTTATTGAAAGTGTTTTGCAGCTATCTAAACACTATGACTATCAAAATATTGGGTTACATAAATTTGATTAACTCCCACTTGCAAACACTATCGACACACTCGAAACGACCAATTTGCGGGGGTGGCTACGGCTCTGTGCAAATACAACATTTTGAGGCGGGGGCTTCATTGTTAAGCAGCCCCCAATGTAGAGGTCTGCAACAGTAAATCCTGCAGGATTTCTGACAAATGCAGCCCACTCCTTCCCCAGCTATTAACAATGTTTCATATTAAAATAAGAACAAAAGAAAAATAACACTCTTAACAGTTTTTTAATCTGAACGATACACAGTAGAATCACTCAACTTTTACTTTTATTAAGATACTTTTAAAAGATGTGAACTAAAAGTAAACCTTATTAAATACATTTTAAACAATGAAATAAAGAGCTTGCACACTGATAGTTAATGTTGTTACTCATAGAAGCAGAAACAAAATAGATGCTGGAACCCCATGTGGATGCTAAATCTAATAATGGCATCTCACAATATCATGTATGAAATTTTAAGACTGTTCCTGCCCACATTAGACTAATTAGACTGTATTATTGAATCTTATAGGACCAACGGGATCCATGTCCAGCCGTAGCTATGTACTGCAAAGCAATCTAAAGCTGGTGCATGCTAGTCTTTTTTATATTATTTTTTATATTTGCACCAGGATATGTGTGTAGTGCTGTGTGGGAGCAGAGCAGTGTGATTTTGCCTGTAGCATTTCCC